AGCAGTGTTGTTGTTTCTATGATTATTATTGTAGCATCATCGTCATTATTATAATTATTATTATTATTATTATTATTATGTAATTAGCTGCCACCAGGTTATACCCTTTTGCTGTTCAAATAATTTTTTAAAATTTTATTTTATAAGTTAGGCCTTACAAAGTAGTTTGTGAAGGCTATGAATAAAGATGGTTCTTGCTTCAACTACATCTGCTCTATATTTCCATCACTGACACATGGTAAGTTGAAAGCTAGTATTTTTGATGGTTTAATAAGGCTTCTTTTGAAAGATGAAGAGTTTTGGGAAACAATGAGTGCCTTGGAGAAAGATGCTTGGTATACTTTTTGTAATGATGCCAGTTTCTTGGCAACTAAAGGACAGACAACTTCAAGGTTCTAATGAATACTTTGTTGACAGCATATCAGAGGAGAGGAGTAAACATACGTGTCAAGGTGCATTTTCTACACAGCCACTTAAATGTATTTCTCTCAAATCTTGGTACTGTAAGAAAGAAGCAGGGTGAGCATTTCCACCAAGATATAGAAACAATCGAAGAAAGATATCAAGGCTGATGGAACACAAATATGATAAAAAATTACTGTTGATGCTTGCAGCGCAACATCCCTGATACCAGATATTTCAGAAAATAAAAGAAGCGCAGGTTCCTTCAACATAAAAACGCTTAGGGATTTTTTAAATTTGTGTATTTTGCTATTTACTTGTAAATCCAGACTAAAACAACACTTTCAAAACTATTTATAAACCACTATTTTTCTCTCTTGCATGAATCGAAGTGCTACTTGATAAGATACTGCTGCAACGTATGGAATTGATAAATTTTGTAAGTGTGTTTTGTGACAAAATTTTGACGTGATGGACAATTTATGACAGTATAATCGTAATCAGAAACCTCAAATTATATAAATCCAACAATAGTGTCTTTTTTTATTAGGAAATTTATTAAATAAAAGAGAACGAGCAACAGACAATATTTCACAAGTGCCTAGCAATTCTGACAAATTGTCACCAAATATCTACAGTAATTTTAAATATTAAAAACATGTGAGGTTTGTACAGCTACAGAAAAACTACATTTCAGTAGACGATTATCAAGTGCACTCAATTACTAGTTGATGAAAATAGTGTTCCAAAGAGGAAAATGTTTTCATGGAAAGCTTCAATATGGATTCTACAAAATATCATTCCTTTGTAAATGAAAACTGTCTAGTGTCTTTATCACTCATGTCCAACTCACCTCAAGTTCTACACTTTCAAATTGTGTTTGTTGTGGCAATACGTGTTCAACTTCCTTTTTTGTCAATTCATCCAGGGAAATGCCACGTACACTTTCTCGCATATATTCCAAGGGCCCAGTTCGAACCATTTTGAAACGTTTTTCTTCTGACATTTGAAAAAACATACACCTAGTATATTCTTAAAAATTATAAGGCAAGTATAGTATATTTTCAGGTATTATTATCCAGCATACATACTTGGCATTTGTGTGCGAAGATTTAATAATCTTTCAGCCATTTCATCAGCAGCAGCATTTGATGGTGCACATAAGAGTATTCGAGTCTTTTTATCAAAACGAGCTTTTGAATAATGACCATTTGGGTATAAAACTTGTTTGATAATATTGAGTATCACTTGAGTTTTTCCAGTGCCTGAAGCATATGAAAAAATAATAAATAAGCAAATAAAAATATTGTACATGGTGCAATTATGATCTTGGGAAATTTCTCCACCTATCTAAAAAATATATATAGATATGGTGCATGCCTGCACACACACACACACACACTTTTTTTTATACAAAATAAATATATTAAAAACTACAACACTAAGTTTGCTGAAAGTTCTTCAGTTGTCATTTGACTCCATTCAATGCTGAAGAAATAGCAACGTGTCTGTGTCAAGACCAACTCGAGCAGGAAAGGGAACTGTACTTTTCTTGGTTGGAAGAATGTTCTTTACCCTCTAAGAACTCAGACATGACATTATGCATTTTTTGTCAACATTGGAAACTGACACCACATAAACCAATTCCTTAGGATCAGTCTCTTTCTTTTTTTAAAGGTTTTTCATTTTTCTTTCAGGGGAGAAACATGCCAGTGACATTTGTTGCCAAAGAATGAAAGGAGCATAATTTCACCCCTTCAGTGCACAATATTTTCAATTAAAAGAACTGCTGGTTTCTATATTGGCTACCTGTATAACTCTTCATTGAATTGAAAATATTAGGGTCTGCCAACTGTGATTATGGCAGGCGGGTATGTACTCAGCAAATTTTACACTTATGTCCTTCATTTGTTTAGTCCAATACAATGGCAACAAGATAAAATAAAGAGTTCAAACTCCCTCTAAAGTTCGATGTTATAAAAACTCAATTGGCATCAAAGTGTGACTAAAACGGTCAAGCGCTAAGAAGATTGGAACAACATATAGTGTGAGTTCATAAGGGAGACAGTAGTGGAACTTAGTACCTAAGTGTGCATTCGAATTAGGGCATTAAAAACATTTTCCACAGAGGCTAAGTGTCTCCCACAAGATGTTGAACGAGAAGCGCAAACAAAATTTTAAACAAAAAATAATTTGAATCACAAGATTGAATTAAACATTTTGAAGTCCTGTATTAGATTGTGAGTTAACTGACGAGTTAACATTTATAACTTCCATTCTTCACTAGTAAGACTCGTCTGATGCATTTGTTCTGAAGAAGGCAACAATGTTTGATGTCTGAAACATTACAAATGACTCCTTGATGTATGATGTCACCTAGTGTGCGAGTGTGTATTTCATGTTTCTGGGCACATCCTGCAAATGTAGAGCATTTTATAGACACGAGGTGACACTGCTGGAACACAAGATCCAGCACTCATCTACACATTTGCAAGCTGATTTTTCATGTCCAACTATCTCACACAGCCTGGGCAGCTCTAGGCTCCCAACCAGTCTCCCAATGTCAGGTGATACAGGGAATTGTGTGTGTTTGTTTGTTTGTTGTGTGTGTGTGTGTGTTTCTTGTGTGGTGTGTGTGTGTGGATGGAGGTGAGAAAGAGAGAGGGGGAGAGGTTTTATCGCAGGAGATAACAGTGTGTTCCTCCCCACACTGGATGGTGAGATTTGGTGCCAACCTACTCATTGGCTAGAGCATTTTCCTCCTCCAGGAATTTCCTCTCAGCAGAGCATCTGGGAAAAGTTCTAAGTTTTCGAGCAGTAGTGTAGTGTCTAGCAGTGAATAATGGGTGAGGATAGTACAAGAGGAAGGAAAGATCAAACCTTGGTCTGTGGATTTTGTTAGGGTACTGCTCCAGTATTTGCCTATCACTGTTCAAAGATGCCTTAGAAAACTGCTGTTCAGAGCAACTGCCCATTAGTATTCTTCTCCAGACAAAAGAATTTGATCTAGCTAGCTAGTGTCGAAAATCTGCCACCATTTGGACTGCTTGTGTAAGGGGAGAGGAGGGTTCAAGGATGAAGATGAAGGGAAGATTGAATGCAGTCTCATTCATTAGATTATTGCTCCGGCATTCAGCTGGTTTTAATCAGTGAAACATCTGTTAACTACTGATCAGAACAGCCAGCTACTTGAATTCTCTTCCAGACTGGTTGAATTAGACCTATCTTTAAAGCTGGTGTCAAAAATCCATCTCCATTGGAATTTGAACCCTAGGATCTCTTGGTCAGAGACCCTGCAGCTGCAACAACAGTAGTCACTGAACCATCTTGGCTGGTATGACTCCTCGATAGCCTACTCCACAGAGATAACAGATACTTACCTGGGGGTCCTTGAATTAAACAGATTCTTGGTGAAGAGTGAGTACAAACATAAGAACCCTTCATTACTGCAGTCCTCTGGGCTGCATTCAGAAGGTCCTGGAAGAAGGGATCAAAGATTAAAAAAAGTAAATTTTATTTGTACTTACACAGGCAACAAATCCTGAATTGCAATTTGTAACTTAGTTTAATAAAATAACACCCAAATATGAAATCTTTAAAAATAAGACACACATTCCCCAAAAAACTCATCAGATTTAGGTGTCTGAAATACAGGAGTGCCCAGTAATAGGAAGTACATTACATGCTCCAAAGAAAAGGTATATGATATACAAAGACATTTGCTCTCAGAAAATGCCTTGTTTCTCCAATTTCTTAATATAAAAGCTTGAAAGTGGCTTTGAACAAGTTTCATAAATTGGCAGTTTCAAAGAATGTTTTGCACAGAAAATACCTTCAAAGAATTGTGCTTTTTCTTCCAAATACAGATGAATTTGCCCAGAAGAAACAGCACCAATTTTTAATGTCACAAACTATTAATACACATGCACAAATATCGATACCTTTCTATTAAAAAAATTAAGACTAAAAAGTCCTGTTAAAAACATCAGAAATTTGGTGATAACATTGTTTCAGTACTTTGAAATTTGTAGCCATATTTTTTCTCTACATTAAATATGAGAGTGGGAGATCAAAGAATTCCAATTTTGCCAAAATAAGAACCACACTAATGTATATATACTCATTTTATTTATATATAGGTAGTTTTGTTTTTATCATACATATAATTAACACATTAAATGTAATAATATAATACAATAAAAAGTAAAGAATTATACCTCAGTTACAATTTTCACATTTGGATCAGAACATGGAATTTTAAAATCTTCAACTCGTGGATTTAATATCATGTTACAGAGTTTTGTATGCTCCAAGTATCCAATGGCTTCAAAGTGGCGCAGTTCAGTACGGATTCCACTTATTATCTGAAAAATCAGTTTCCACAGTCATTCATTCAACCAAGCGCTTTTTTTACACATCACACACTTTTCAAATATTTTTATATCTCACAGCACTATTAAAGGACACTACATTGTGTACAATACTAATGGTATGTTTCATGGTCATTAAACAAATTAATATACTTGGAAGTTCATTTCTAAGGTAATTATAATTTACTGGTACATTGTCTAAAAGAAATTATTTCCCAATTATGCTGCATCTAAAGATTAACCCCCTCCCTCATGCTGTTTCCCCAAGATTTTGTATTTGTGTAATCATTACCAGTAATATAAACTTTCGTTTAAGTTATTATGATTGGTAATATAGTCACAAATGTGAAACTCGCAGGAAACTTACAAAATACATTTGTATTCTCCTACAAGTTTATTTTGCACTTATCTTGCCTGCATATTAGTGTGATTCGATTCAATACAATGATGCCTTATTTTATGTGGCATGACTCAGGCAATTAGATCTGCTCTTGCGTCAGACCATACAAATTTTACTACCCACTTTTCACTAGCAGAGAAAGCACTCTTGACACTCGGATGCCAAAACAGGCAATTTGAATTTAGCTGACAAACTCTTTTGGGCTAGAGGATCTTTTATATGCAGTAAATCTACAAAATGGGACAGCTGGCTTTGCTTCCCCTCCGAAGGAAAGCCTATGACAGAATTTTAAAAATCTAAGTCTCCGATCAGCTTTGAACCCACAAACTTTGTTATAAAAACCTGGTACGCTGTTATATCCCGGAAGCCATAATTGATTGTTTATGGACACATCAACTGCTATGATTCTGTCCTGGTAGGTGTAGTGCAAGGTTATCCTCAGAAGAGGTGGAGTTCAAATTACTGGGAGGGAAATTCCCTCAACACTTTCCCTCCCCAGTAGATTTCCCCACGGGCAACACCCTACCAATGGAGACTTTGGAACT